CCCACTATAGTTTTCACCCCTTATGGTCGTGAGGTAAAGTTGCAAGCCCCTTTTTCTCCGTTTTTTTTTCATTTCAAGATAAGTTCGAAGTTCCTTTTCAAAACAAGGGAGGAGCTCCTTGTAAATTTAGAACATTAAAAAAACAAAAAATTCGCAACAACGATAGATTAACAGACTTCGGCTGCCTCCTCTTGTATCAAAACAAACTTAGGAGTACCATTATATCATAAAGCCATGACAGTCTTACCAACCAAATAAACATCAATTCAATTAGAAAAAACACAAATATATCTTTTGTTATTACTGTTTTCGGATGTTGTCGCTTCTGTCCACTTCCTCCCAAAAGCCACCGAAAACTTGCTCCTTTTCCTTATAAAAAGACCACTACATAAGATGACTCATCTCATAACAGAACTAGAACCAGAACCATCAAGGATCATTCAAAGCAAATGAAGAACCATAACCTTACATGGCTAAGTCTTTCCCTTTCAATTCTCATCACCTTCTTCAGTCACTCTCATGCAAAACAAATTCAACCCATCTCAGATTTCCACACAATTGAGCACTTCCTCAACAAAACCTATGAATGGTTGAGCCACCAAAGAGCACAGCACAACCATGAAACCCCACTAAAATTTTCAGCCCCCATTGTGTTTGCAGGAATCTTCTGCTTCCTAGCTGCCTCTATATCCAGTGCTGGTGGAATTGGTGGTGGTGGGCTGTTCATACCAATATTGACCTTGGTGGCAGGTCTGGACCTCAGAACAGCCTCCAGTCTGTCAGCTTTCATGGTCACAGGAGGCTCAGTTGCAAATGTCATCTACAACTTGTGCAAAGGAAGTGCCAAGTTTGGTGGCAAAAATGTGATTGATTATGACATAGCACTTCTGTCAGAGCCATGTATGTTGCTGGGAGTAAGTGTTGGAGTGATTTGCAACCTTGTTTTTCCAGAGTGGCTGATCACCATACTCTTTGCTCTGTTTCTTGCTTGGTCTACCTCAATGAGCTGCAAAAATGGTTTGGTGTACTGGAAAATGGAGTCAGAGGAGCTGATGAGAAATGATTGTGAGAATTTGGGAAATGGGTTGAATGCTGAAACAGAAGGGGTCAAGGGTATTGCAGAACCGGTCTTAGGAACAAATGGAAAGGGTATAATA